GGGGAGCTTGATATGAATAATTCCCAAAATATGTGTAAATCCTTTTTGTATAACTCCTCTTTAAGTTGGTCAAATATGAAAGTTCTAATGTTCTTTAATCCGGTACAATCAAATACAAAATGATTGATGGTTTCCTTTGTCACTCAGTCACATAATAAGCATAAGCCTAAATTTTGAGGTGACCAGGATTCCTCTCTTCCTTCAAGAGGTAGTGAGTTAGAACGAGCTTTAAATTTTAAACTTGAAGCATGAATGTTACACTTTTCTAATAAATACTTTTCCATTTTAGGTTCACTTTTGTATCTTATGTAATGTTTTAAGGATGATTTACTTAAAGCATTGTTATACCAACTTATGTTATCTTATTTAATATTTTTTTTCTTTGAAGCCATTAAGCCATTTTGTACAATAGTCAATGTTAAAGAACATTTGTAGATCAAATTTATTTAAAATAGATTCAATATTTTGAAGCCATTTCCAACTCAGATTTTCTCTAAGCGTAAAGAGAGCCCTAAATAATAATCTTGGCCAGCGGTGTTCTTCCATATTTTTTAGTCTATAAAAGTAAGTTAATAATCTTTCTGATTGAATAGATTCAATTGTTTGCCAGCCAAGTTCACCATATAAGGCTTCCTTTGCAACATATCTGGGTGCTTTTAATAGGTATCTGGCCATTTGGTATTGTAAATTTTCAATTTTGTCAATAGATGTTTCGTTATTGCAAAACCATATACTGCTTGCATAATTTGTAGTTGGTATTCCAATCGCTTTCCAAAGAATATCCCCATAATATACTCTGTTAAAATCTTCCTGTCCATTAATAATAGATTTTATATACGTTATTACTCTATTTCCCCTTTTAACTATTTCATCTATGTGACAGGTATCTTTTATTTTTCTAGATATAAACATTCCCAAATACTTATAATTATTAGCTTCATGAATGAAATTATTACCAATTGGCCATTTCCTATATATAATAAAGCGTTGCCCAGTTACAATGACATTGGACTTATCAAAATTAAAAATCATTTTCCATTTTGTAGCAAAATCATTTGCCGCATTCAAAAGTAATTTTAAATCATGTTCACTATCTCCAATTAAAATAATATCGTCTGCCCAGAATAAACTGCCGATTTTTACATCAAAAATATTTATACCTAAACCTCTTTCCTTAATAATCTTATTGAGCTCATTAATGTATATGGTGAATAGAATTGGAGATAGTGGGCAACCTTGTTTTACACCTTCGTCAATATTAAAAACATCTGTTTCATGGTCACCAAATGAAACCTTTCCTTTTACATCTTTATATAAGTTTTTATTAATGTTCAATAGTTTACCTTTAATGCCTATATTGTTAATTGCATAAAAGAGACCTTCTCTCCAAACGGTGTCAAAAGCCTTCCTAAAGTCCATAAAAGCAAGGTATGTTTTTTTTTTATTTTCCGCTTGTCTACAAGCAATAATACTCTTAAGTATAAAAATGTGATCTTCACACCTTCTGTCTTTGCGGAATCCCCCTTGTACCTCTGATAGTAAATCATTTTCTTCAAGAAAGTTTGACACCGTTTGGGAGATAAGTTTATTATATACCTTTGAAACTGAAGAGTTTAGAGTTATACCCCTGTAGTTATTTAAATCTCTACAGTCAACTTTTTTACATATTGGAATGATTTTTCCAATACTCCATTCATTGGGTATTGTTTCCAAGATTGATAATCTTTTAAATAATTTATATAAGGAAAATATAATTTCATCACTGCCATTTTTCATTATTTCGTTTGTAATACAATCTAAACCAGGGCTCTTGTTATTTTTACAGTTAAATACAACATTTTTTATATCTTCACAGGAAAATATAAAGTCTTCTATTATAGGTGCATTTATGTTAATATTAGAGTTATTACTATGTATGAGACGCCAAGGTGGACATTGAAATAAAGCCTACTGAATACAAATTCTCCCCTTTTAAAGATAACTATGGGATTTAAATTTACTACTGGAGTGTGGATCATTATGTTATAATTTTACTTTACAATGTTAACCAATCAACTTGTTGTGTACTCATTAAAATGTGTGATTATTACATTTAATTGAGTCCAGAGTTATATCGTTGTATGTTCATATGTCCATTGACAAAACTTTATACTGTATAAACAAATATTCAATACAACTCGAGAAACAGTTCAAACAACAGAATAATAATTCAAGTATTGCGGTATTCTTCTTACTCGCTTAGGTCTACCTGCGTCCTTGATCTCACATGCGTCATCCGTGGGGTGGCCAATTCTCAACATGTTACTTAGATCATCTAGCGTGGTTGCCGCTGATTCTGATCGTTTAAGTTTTCTCAACATTGAACGGTTCCTTCTAACGACATTGCCGCGACTTGTGCGAATGTTAAATGACCTCGGTAGTGTGTAGACCTTCTCTTTGTAAATCCGGAATCCAATCATTGTCGCCTGGTTTTACTGACTGTAACTCTATTAGCCTGGGTGCAGTAGGAAATTAGCGGGAAAAAAGTAAAGGAAAATTTATTTTTGGTTTTTCTGAATCAGTATATCATATAGTGTCTCAGAAAAAAAATCCCCATTCTTAGAACTTCGGCAATTTTTTTTTATAGCACTTTAAAATTTTGACATAAAATATCCTATTTTGGGCTAATTAAGATGGGGTAAGGGAAATAAATGTATGTTTTTAGTCACTTTTACATATGCTATGTGTATCAAATGTAACAAGGACTTGGCTAAATAGTTAATCCTCACTCTCGTTAAAAAATTTAATCGGAATAATGAGGTCATCACAAAAAATTTCAAGATGGCTGCCATTTTGGCGGTAAAACTCTTTTAAAATGTAAATTTAACTTTATCGTTATCAGAGCAATTTCAAAACAATATATATCCATACACACACACACACACACACACACACACACACACACACACACACATATATATATATATATATATATATATATATATATATATATATATACTGTATATATATATACATATATATACATAATACACACATACATATGTCTATATGTATGTATTATCATTCTCATTGTTGTCTAATCATTATGATCATCGTTACTATCATCGATCGTTGTAATCATCACCATCATCATCATCACATCATACTCATCCATCGTCATCATCCTCATCTTCATCACG